TTTCCCTCTCTCGCTCTCTCTCCCTTTCAATCTTTTCCCTTTCAATTCTCTCCCTCTCCCTCTCTCTTGCCCTCTCCCTCTCTCGCTCCCTCTCCCGCTCCAACCTCTCCCTCTCCACACGTTCTCTCTCCCTCTCCCGGTTCCTCTCCCTCTCTCGCTCTCTCTCTAACCTCTCTCGGTCCCAGTCCCGGTCCCTGTCCCTGTCTCTTCCCCTCTCTCGTTGTCTCTCCCACTCCCTTCTGCCAACTCCGTTGCTACAGTCCAACTGGTTGTTGTTGGACGGGGCGGCCATGGTGCATTCAGTGTTGGTGGACGATGCCGTTTCCGTGGGCCGCTCAGTCCCGATACAGGTTCCAGTCCCGATACTAACACTGCCTCGCTCGTCACTAGAAACCGTCCCATCTGATATAGTTGCTGGGGGGCGTGGCAGCCGTTCTGCACTGCAGCTGCGATCTGCGGGGCAACGACGCGAGAGGGGAGGGGCACGGGGCAAGGTGGTCCTCGTGCCCACAGACTTCATGGCAAACTCCTGCTCTCCTGCCACCCCACTGCCAACACTGCCCATAGTGGGGGTCAAAGTCAGGGATTAGAGGTTAGGAGTCAGGATGGGGGAGGGTCACAGAAACATTTGGAAGCAGTGTGGGTCATCACAACCTAATGCAGGTAGTGGGGGCACACACACTGGAGGAACACAGAGAAATGAAAGGTGTTACACAATATTGTAATTGCATGGTGCCTAGTTATACAATGATAATGGTAATGCAGCAGAGGGTCCAGGCCCCACAGGGGAGTGGGGGGGGGGGGGGGTGTCCCTCCACCATGATCAAAATGTGACGGATCAGCTCTGACACTGTGACAAAAAGGTGTATTAAAAAGTACTTCTGTAGTATAACAGTATTATAGTAGTATTATCTATTATTTCAGTGGCTAATTTCAGGATCAATGCGATCAAATATTGGTCTTGTCATGTTTAATTCAATGTTTAATTTGTAAATAATCAATCACAATTGTTCTTTTTTTAATTATTTGATTCCAGCTTTCTGTGCCCCTTTATAACAGTGAATTAATTAATTAATTAATTAATTAAGCCCTTTGAAGACCATAGGGGTTTTACTGGTATATTTAATAGTATTTGTTCATATATCGCTTAACCCAGTGGTTCTCAAACTATTTATACCACTTGAGAAAACATTGATCTCTCTGAGTTCCACCATGATGACCAACATTAGAATACAGCAGCATAGACCTTCACTGTTAGCTTCCACCACAAAGGAGAGATGTTTAGAAATGTTTAGAAAGATGTTTATGTTTAAATGTTGTATTAATTGTACTTGGTATGTTTCAGATTTATTCAATTGAAAATGTAAATGTGAAAATATGAATTTTCCCCACGTACCCTAGAGAGTGCAAACTGTGGTCTGGTACCACAGTTTGAGAACCACTGGTCTAACCTATCCTCAGCCATGGGGTGGGCAGAGTAATTCTGTTGGTTACACCCTGGACTGTGTATCAGTTCATCACAGGGCCACATGTAGAGACAAACAACCAATCAGATTCAGTTATCAAAGTCTGACTGACCTGATCCTACATGTTGTTGGACTGTTGGAGGAAACACACACACGGGCAGAACATGTAAACTTTGAATGTTGATCTTTTTTGCCTACTCCATCAAGTGACCAGATTGCTGTTTGAATATTACCATTAACACAATTGAAAAAGTACGCCTGCAACACACTCCAAAATTGTGACATACATCAGGAAAACTAGATTGGTCAAACTGAAGCTTTCTCTGGAAAGTTCCTCAAATGAAGTTCAAGTTGTGATAACTAACCTCTGCCTAACCTAATTGAAGGCTGCATTGAAGGAAACACTGTTTCCCCTTGCTGTTATTGTTGTAAAAACTCTCAATATCTCTATGCATTAGAAACCACCATGCTCACGAGACAGACATGAGGCCAGGATGCCCAGATGGGAGTCCGTAGATATATATTTTGTACAGAAATCTGGACTTCCTGAAGTTGTTTGGATCAAAGTTCATGTGAGATGGACTCAAAGCCAATGGAAAATGGAAGATTATGGTGCAAAAGCCAGTGTCTGGTATGATATGGGGATGCATCAGTAGCCATGAAATGACAATCTGCATCTTGGTGCAGGTACCACTGATGCAGTGACTGGACATATACTTTACTCCAGCCAAGATACTGGTGTTCAGCAGGGACCTCCATAGACTCTAGAGTAAGAGAATGTCAGGCCTAAAAAGAACAACAAAGTAAATAAAAATCACAAAGGTGTTGCCCTCAGAAGGTTATCACAAGTGTGGTACTTAACTGTCATTCAGAGCCATCTATGAAATTAAAATTTGGGCCGCATTGTGAAGATGAGCATTAGGCAGCATTGGCCTTGGACGCAGGTATTATACACAGCAGGACATAAATGATATTGAAAACAATGCAAAACTAAGCATCCTGATTTCCCTAACAATTAACACAAGTGTAGTTAGTTAAAAATCAATGTAGTAGACTTGGAGTGTGTTGCAGGTGTCATTTCTAATTTACTTTACAAAGAGAATGTGGGTCACTGAAAACCCCACACAGTATGTTCTCTATCTCTTCTAAGATCAGGCTAAGCTAAGCCCAGCCTGCTAACCCCTCAGCCCCCCAACATGTCTTCTTTTCTGGGTTTATTACAAACACTGTAATATTTGAATGCCGTTACTACAGCTGATGAAGTTAGTTTACCGTTGATAAACCTTTATCTAAACAGAAAGATTACTGGTTTGTTGAAGGTATGATGTCCCAGCATATATATATATATATATACACACGTGGACAAAATTGTTGGTACCCCTCAGTTAAAGAAGGGAAAACCCACAATTCTCACTGAAATCACTTGAAAC